CTTTACAATTTATGGTTTTAAGTTTTGAATGTATTGAAAAACAATTTTTTAAAAATAAACTTTTAACAACAATTATTAAAAAACTATTGTTAAAATTTTTTTTTGTCTAAATGGTTATTATAAAATAATCATTGTGAAAAGTAACTTTTAACAACAATTTTTCAATAACCATTATTAAAATTTTATTTTTAAAATAAATCTCAATTGTTTTTTTTGAGACTTTTCACATCGATTAAATAACCGACATGGAAAAGTCTACTTTCCACTTCATTTTTTTAGCTTTCCCTTAATAATCAATTTTAAAAGTTTAAGATAATCATGATTAAAAAGTCCTTCTTGCAATAATGTCTAGTCCTCATTTCGTTCATTTTCATTGTAGATGCATCTCGCCTGCTGTTCCTACCAGTCATTCGAGAAGCATATGAAATTTTATCCGGAGTGTGGCTGTTTTTAATGGGTCATGGCAAGGTTTCTGAGATTAGCCGAAACTTGCGTTGTGTTGAAATAGGAAAAATCTACTACGACATATCCAAGATAATCGTGGGCTTCCTCAATTGCACTTTCTATGATAATGAGGACTCCAACCAGTTCACGAAAGAGCTTGAATCAACCTTAACAGAGTTTCAGGAGACTTATTACCATCTCGATGCCATGGGCCAGCCGATGATACGTTAAAGTCTATTTGTTCTAATTTGACTTGATAAAATCATAGTCCCTTTTGTCATTTAATTATATAGTCATTGTCACTCAATAATTACTCATTTCGTTTTCTTCCTTGTTAATCAAGAATATCTTATAAATTAAGACGGCGGAGAAAGTACTGTAAATTAGGGTTAATGAATAAGTAAAAAAAAAGTATGCATGGAAGTCCAAAAGTCTGTCTTGTTTAGCCCGGAGCATCCGGATATAGTCTCTTTTGCTTGCACAATTGGTCCTCGTCGAATTGAAAATCCAAAATGCCTATGACGGAAAAGAACAGTGCATAGAATATTCTAAGTCTCTTGCAAGTTAGTTACAGTCATTGTCAATAATTAATTGGTCATTTCGTTTTCTTCCTTATTACAGTATACAAGGGTTCAGAACAATAAGGCAAGTTTTAAAATTAAAACTAATGGCTTTGTACAGAATCTAACCCACGATTCATATAAAAATAAGATGCCCACTTGTTGACAAAGTTTTTAATAATATATAAAAATAAATACATAAATAAATAAAATTTGCATCACTTCCTTTTTTAATGTTGGCAACTTGGCATGCGCACATGTACTACTTACAGATGACGATATGGAAAAGTACTTGCATGTCAATTACGACTCCTTCAAACATCAATCATTTAAAATATTATAAATCTTCTTCTATTTGTTTTTTTGGTAAAGATGCATGGTACTCATCGATCAATTTGACACCCCCAAGTTGCCTCTAATGGAAAAGAACAATACATTGAATATTCTAGGACTCTTGCCGGGCCATTTAATCACAGTCATTGGCAATCATCAATTATTCATTTCGTTTTCTTCCTTACAAGGGGCAAGAACAATAATTAGGCAAGTTGTAAAGTGAAAACTGATGGCTTTGTACAGAACCTTACTTATTTAATATAAAAATAAGTGCCCACTTGTTGACAGAGTTTTTATATTATATATATATATATATATATTCATTTTTAGGATAGAATTAAATATATAATCGTATAAATTCGTGTGTCTTTATTTTAAAACTTAAAAACACAAATATATAAGACTAAAACGATAGTATAATATTATAAATAAATATTACCGTTACTTTTCCCCATGCATAGATGTCCAGGTATTTCTAAGAAATTAGATTCAATTAATTAATTAATGGGTATGGGCTCAAGATTAGTAGTGTTAATCACGGGGCTCCAATGGACAAAACGAATATCTTCAAATTTGTGTCGCTATATATGTTCAAATTTTCTCGTGTGATAAAGATCATATACGAAATGATAGTAGAAAATAATTTAATTTTAAATTTGGTGCCTGTAGTTTATTTTGTTTTAATTAATATCTTATATATAGTTTTATTCATTAAATATGTTAATCCCTGGAGATTAAAATTAATAAATAATTAATCTACCCAAAAAAAAAACACTATTGAATTTGATAGAAATTAAAATTTGATTTAATAATTTTGCAAAAAAAATTGATTTAATAACATGTTTATATCTTTATTAATTTTTTATAAAAATTATATATGTATAATAATTATTAAAAAACATAACCTAAATGATTTGTCTTATTTTGACCCTTCTATAATTAGAGAATATGATATTCATTTAATTTTTAGTTTTTCATTTTTAGTATTTTTATGTAATTTTTTGAAAAGGATATGATTGCCGGGTTTTTAAAAAGAAACGTTATTTTCAAACTTTATGTAAATTAATTTTAAATTATATTTTAATTTTAAAGTTATATAATCATCTAGTAAAAATATAAAAGTGTTTAAATTTATCAACAAATATTTTTTTTTGGCAATCATCAACAAGCGTTAATTTTAGAGGAAGGGTTTATGACCTGAACATGCTTTTAAATTTATCAACAAGAATTTGAATTGATCAACAGTATTGGATTTGAGTTCATGTGAATCCAGAAAATATTTGTTAGAGCTCCCATCAATTAGACCCCACAAAGCTCAAATCTAACCCAATTAGATTACCATAAACACATGCACCCTGTATTTATATATATATATATATATATATAAAATATTTTAATAATATAAATAAATAAATAGATAAATAAAATTATGCATGGCCATCACGATTGCGTAGTCTCGGAAACTTCCTTGTTTTTATGTTGGCAACTTGGCATATGCATATGTAATACTGGTGACGAGATGGAAAAGTACATGCATGTAAATTATGACTCCTTCAAACATCAATCTTTTAAAAGATTATAAATCTTTTTAATTATACTTTTATTGATATGTTATATAATTAAATATCTTAATAACAGCAATTGAAATTTAAATGGATTGCTTTTTTCAAAAGAATAGTAAATAATGTAAGGATCTATTTTATTCTTACTTTGGTGAACTAAGATTTAAATTTTCATTGAAGGAAGTGCATGATTGAGTCTAGAATATGATTGACTCTAATAGCTAGGAGGATAGCTTTGAGCAGTAAAAAAACATAAGGATATATATAAATAAAAAATATAAGAAATATCCAATGCCATTTATTTTTGAATTAAATAATTTTCTAAAAAATATCCTACATTATGAAAAAGAGGGAGTATATATATGTTATTTGGCTTCCCTCATTAAATAAGGCTAATAAAAATATTATAGATATGATTAAAAATGATATAATTGATTATAAACAAAATAAAATAATATTATTATCCAAAAGTGGAAAAAATGATTTCTTCCAATTAACCATGGAAACATGACACTACAGTATTTCTAAGAAATTCCACCGACGTATGGCCTTCAGAAAGCGAATCCAGCACGGAATGCGGACGACGTAACATGAATGTCTATATCTATTGCATTCGTCAATAATTTGACAGTAATTGAGTGGGACTAGTTATAATTAATTTAATATTTTTAAATAATATATAAAATTATAAAATAAATTCTTTCGCTTAGCTTGGAGCAGCCGCGTATAGTCTCTTTCGCTTGCACAATTGGTCCTCGTCGAATTGAAACTCCAAATTGCCTCTAACGAAGAACAGTGCATAGAATATGCTAAGTCTCTTGCAAGTTCAGTTACAGTCATTGTCAATAATTAATTGGTCATTTCGTCTTCTTCCTCATTACAGTATACAAGGGTTAAGAACAATTAGGCAAGTTTTAACATTAAAACTAATGGCTTTGTACGGAATCTTACCTGTGATTCATATAAAAATAAGAGCGCACTTATTATATACAACTATTTTTCGCAAGATAGAATGAAAAATATAATTTTATAAATTCGTATGCTTATTTTAAAACTTAAAAATTCAAATATATATAGATACACGCCCGCGACTAAAACGATAATAATATTATATATAAATATTACCATTACTTTTCTCCATGCATAGATGTCAAAGTATTTCTCAGAAATTAGATTGAGCACATAATTAATTATTGGTTATAGGCTGAAGAGGAATGCTTTCCGAACTACCGTCGCAAGTCAAAAAATCATTTATAAAATGATAATTATGTTCCTGTAATATGTCGCCACAAAAAATCACACACATATGTATATATATAATGATAAGTACGTTCCTATAATTTGTCTCCGTGCAAAAAAATCATATATAAAGTTATAAGGACTAAAATTTTGAAAATATGAAATAGAGACAAAATATCTCTTTAATGAATTGATCTAAAATTTTACTACTCTCATTTCATAATTTTCAATAATCAAAATTAAACAAGAATTTTCAACTGAGATTTGTTAATTTGTAAAAGAAAAACTTGTCAAACATATCATAATATCCAGTGATGTACTATTCTTATACCCTTATTTGCAGCCCTCAAAACACGTATTCAAGTATGATTTATTAATTTGCGAAGAAAAAATTTTTTAAATAATATTGTGCTTAACAAACTTTCTTTCATAAATCAATGAATTTCAGATGTAAATTTTTTTGGCAAAAAAAAAAAGAGGATGTAAATTTTTGTTTTGAGAGTCGTAAATTGTAGAATGAGGGAATGAGCCGGGGAAGTATACTTTTAAACCAATAATTTAGAGTACATCGGGCTCTTAACTTCCTATCTCATGTTTCCAAAAAAAAAAAAAATCCATTATTTAAATTGAAATTCAATATTTTGTTCTTTAGCGATAATTACGTTCCTGCAACTTGTCTCCACGCAAACGACCATCGCGGGAGAGAAATTTCCCAGAAAAGAAGTAACCCATAATACAGAAACGTGCGAGTGCTTTCTATGGCTATTTAAGCACTCAAATTTTCTCTCCTAAACACACATCAACCAAACTCACCATTTTCGGAAAGAATAAGCTCCAAAAAACAAAAGAAGAAGTGAGCGTGATGAGAAACAAAGCTTACGTTCTGTTCTTCCTTTCATTATCCCTTCTCTTTGTAGATTCATCTTCAGCTTCTTTCTCGCTCTCAACATTAACGGAGTTGCTTAAGAAAGCGAAAGATATACTCATGGAGGCCGCAACCTACATAGCATCATCCTCTGAGGAACGCAGCTTAAGTTATCAAATAGGAGAAAATATCACTTACTTATCCGATTTTAAAGTCTATCTTGATTATTACAATTACCTTAATACTTCTGATGTCTCCGATATCTACACGGATGAGCTCAAATCAGCCTTAAAGAAGTTTCAGAACACTTTCGGTCTCGTTTCCAACGGCCAGCTTGACAACGAAACTCTTTCGCTGATCATAACGCCGCGATGCGGCGTTCCTGATATTTTAAATAACGTCTCCATTATAATGGAGGATGGCACGATGAAGTTTAATAACTCGTGGTGGCCGACTGGGAAGAAAGAGTTCACCTATGCTTTTTCTCCAAAAAATGATACGACGTTGTCAAGGCCTGCGTTCTCAGATGCCTTTGACCGGTGGTCCAATGTGACGGGATTGTCGTTCACGGAGACGCCGTTGTGGAACGAGTCTGACATTCAAATCGTGTTCCGGCCGTTGGATGGAAAGGAAGGAGTGCTAGGTGGCCCCTTGTTTGATAACACCACGGGGAGCTTGGTCGTTTATTTGGACTCCAATGAGAGCTGGGCATCGCCGACTGACGCCATGCACGTGGACATGGAGTCGGTGGCGATGCACCAGATCGGACACGTGCTGGGATTCGGCCACGCGACGATACGCGAGGCGGTGATGTACCCTTTCTTAAAGCCGAAGGAAAAGAAGGTGGTTTTTGCGAAAGCTGAATTGGATAGCATTCACCTTCAGTACGGCGGAGCAGCTGGCGGCGTGGAGCCGGCGGGATGGAAACTGGTTTCAACTTTATGTCTTAGTATTGCATCTGCATGGCTTTTTTGGTTCTAACAAAATAAAATAAAGAGAATTATAACAAAAATATCCATAAATTTTTTTCAGATGCACTTGGTATCTTTAAGTAAATAAGAGTGTAAAAATACTCATGAGCTTGTTTTAGCAAGTGCAATTTTTCTCAGACAATAAAAAATGGCAAACATCTGTTTGTTTTGCAGCTTGGGTCCCATGATCATGCTAGGTGTCAAAACTAATTGATGTTTGCTATTTTTACGGTCTGGGAAAAATTATAAAAATAAGTTCATGAATACTTTTACACCTTTATTCACTTAAAAAACTAGGTGTTTTTTGGAGAAAAAATTTACAGGTATTTTGGTCCTATAATGGATCTTTTGGCATATATTTAATTGTATGGTGCAAAAACTCTTATTCAGATGTGTTTTACTTTTAAATCTGTCAATAACAATATTATTGTCTCGTTGGGAGTCTCCCGGGGTTGAAACCACTGTGCTTTCAGTTTGTGATAAATTTTATGTTAGGGTTTATTCGTGTATTGCATCTTGTCATGTCCATAGTGGTTCAGTTATTATTTATTAATGAAAATTCCTTTTATGCTTTCTTTCCTAGTTATTTAAGGCAGTGAGCATTAATTTTTAAAAATTCTTTGCAATATAAAGAAAATGTAAACAGTTTATTTTAATAATTTCGTGCAATATTACAACACGTGTATATATAATAATTTCTTACGAAAAAATCACACTAGCTGTTTACTAATATATATCACTGGTAAACTGGAGATAATGCAATAATTCTATGTTGTGTACTCATTTTCATAATACTAATAATTGAGCTGCCCATACAGGGTACTGGCTAGGTGAGGTGGGCTAAATCGTAAATCAACCAACCTCCTACAGTTAATATATGTTTTAGGGATATATAATATGAAACTTCTGCTTATTTAAAGTTGTCTCAATTACCAATTTAATCTCTTCAAATCTTGATCAATTAAATTTAATGACGGTTACATAGAATATTCTAAGACTCTTGCCATTTAATTACAAGGGCTAAGAACAATTAGGCATATTTTAGTATCAAAACTAATTAATGGCTTTGGATGTGCGGAATCTTGCTTATGATTCATATAAAAATAAGTGCGCACCTGTTGGAAGAGTTTTGATATTTTATACAAATATTCATTTGATGATAGAATGAAAAATATAATTTTATAAATCCGTATCTTCATTTCAAAAACTTAAAAAAACTTAAAAACACAAATAGTATATATAACTAAAACAATAATAATAGTACAAATAAATATTACCATTACTTTTCCCCATGTCTAGATGTCTAAGTATTTCTCAGAAATTAGATTCAATTAATTAATTTTAGGTTATAGGTTCAAGAGTAGTGTTAATCACAGGACTTCGATGAACAAAACGAATGTTTTCAAATTTCCATCTCTATATATGTTCAAATTTTCTACAGTAAGAAAAATCGTATGCAAAATTATAGGAGAAAATTAATCCGTATATTATTGTAATTTTTCTCAATTTCAATTTGATACCTACAGTTCATTTTATTTTAAATAGAGTTTTATTTATTAGATATATTAATCCTTGAAAATTAAAATTAATGAATGATTAGTCTAGCCAAAAAAAATACTATTGAAGTTTATAGAAAATTTGATTTACAATTTTTTGTAAAAAATTGATTTAAAAAATGTTTATATTTTTTAATTATTTTTATAAAAATTATATATATATATATATATATAAGAATTATTTATAAAACATAACCTAAATGATTTGTCTTATTTTGGCCCTAACATAATTAGAGAATATGGCATTCATTTAATTTTTACATTTTCATTTTAGTATTTTTATGTAATTTTTTGAAAAGGATATGATTGTAGAGTTTTTAAAAAGAAACTCTATTTTCAAACTTTTTTTAAATTAATTTTGAATTATAAAAAATATATGATTACTTTTAAAGTTATATAATTATCTAAAAAATATAAAAGTGTTTAAATTTATCAATAAGTGTTAATCCTAATAGAAGTTGTTACAGCCTCGGGTTTTTTAAATTTATCAACAAAGTCTTGGATTTGAATCCGTGTGTGTAACATCTCAAAATTAAATTTAAAATTAATTAAACTAATCAAAAATAAATAAGTAATTTTAAAGAAATATTTATAGATAAATAATTTTAGTTAAAGAATTATTATTAGATCTAATTTAGAATAAAATTTTAAGTTTTATTTTTTTAAAAAATAAAAATAAAAATAATAATTATTGTTATTATTAAAAAAATAAAAGAAGAAAGGGGATATAAATATAAAAAGAAAAAGAAGAAGGGAATGGGGAACATATTATATCCATCGGTGTTTTGTGCGTGTAAGTGTGCAGGTATATTAAAAAAAGAAAATGAAAGGAGGAGTGAGATTGAGGGACCCACAATCAATTAAATCAACACGCCTCTCTTCTTTTCTTACATTTTCCCTTACCCTTTTCAATTTCTTTTCCGTGACTGAACAGAAAGACGAGCGCGTGCGACCTCGGGGGCGACGGGGAAACTGATTTAGAAGGTAGGGGTTGTTTTTAACAGAATATTTTAGATAAGATTTTAAATATTTTAAAATTATATAAGTGTTTTAAATATATTTTTTAGTTATCTTTTTCCTTGAGTTTTTAATTTTGTAGTTATGAAAAATATAGGGTTTGAAAGGGGGATGAATTTATAATGAATAAATATAGTTGTTCAGATTATTGATAGTATAATAAATATTTTAGAGTATTATTTTATTGATGGAATTTAAATTTGAGGCTTTTTAGTTAAACCCTAGACTTCTATGATTAGATTTTTGGTAAATCTAAAATTATAAGTTAATTTATTAATGACTAAAGGGTTATTTGGGAGTAGAAACATGTTATTAAGGCTAAAAAATAATGATTCTAGCCTTAAAAACAAGTTTATAATTTTTGAATATTTTTAGGTGTGATATTATAAAATAAAAAGGAAAATTTTGATATCAAAAAATTGTTTGAAAAATAATTTTAGCCAAAACTTTAATGAAACTGTTGTGAAAGAAGTTATTGTACAAAACAAATAGGTTCAAATATATCAGTAACCCTACTGGCCTACTTGGAGTTTTGGATATAGCTAGTCTTAGGTATGACACCTCATAGTGTATGATTTGGGAGAAATCACGTTCACAAGTGAGTAAGGTAACCCTAACTTGATAGCTCCTCATGATATGACTAAGGCCTTGAGTAGTTAGTCTTACCACATGGATGATTCACTTCAGTTGTTGGCCTAAAGATTTCATGTTAGAGAAAATAAGGGGGATATAAGGAAGAGATTGATCATACATTTCATTATTATTATGCAATTTGAGTAATTAATAGCTATATTTAAGACTATAATTGTAATTGTGAAAATGAGAACATGTGATAAATATGTGAAAAATGTACATGCGGGCGCTTGTACTAATTTTGTATGAACGTATAGTATTTGTGGGTAGTTGTATCAATTTTATATTTGACTTTATTATTGAGATTATTCACGTGAGTTAGATATTAATATGATTAACATGATCTTAATATGATTATTTACATGGTTATCTGGATGAATTTATTAGCTATTTGTATTCATAATTAATTATCATGTATTTATATAACTTAGATGTATCTTAGTTATTGAGTGGTCATAATCACCCTTCTCTTTTAACATATTATAGAAGCTAGCTCATATGAAAAGAACAAAAGAAATGAGCATCAGACCAAGTGATAATAGTCACTTCTGTAGGCCTTTTTTTTTTATTATTTTGATACATGTATTTAGTTTATGATATTTTTAACTAGGACAATATATTCTTGATTCACTTGCATTATAGATTTTGTATTGGGTGGAAATCTATTTTGGGCTCTTGGGAATGTGATTTGGTGCTTATGTTTATATTAGTGGGCAAAAATACTTGTGCAAGTGAAAATAGTTATTATATACATAATTTGAGAACTTGAATATTGTTCTAGTCTCCCCTTGTGCTTTTTATGTCCAAGGGTGAGTAGTTAATATTAACTATATTTGAATGAAAAGAAAAATTTATGCATGTGATGAACTATTGATGAATAGATAATATACATGAAATATGATGACTAAGTGATAATCATTTTGACAAATGTGATTGAGACCTTGGCCTCTCGTTTCTAGTTATGGATGGGTTTGAGTGGTCAAGTATTATGTTAGTGAATATATGTATATATACACTATGTGGAGTAGGGCACAGAAAGGAAATAAAGGGAAAATTTTTCTCCCATCTTGAAATGTATTTCTTAATGCTTAATTAATCTCATGCTTCTACACAAGTTTAATTGAGTGATGTGAGTTTTTAAATTATTTTAAAGACTAGGGATCCCTTTGTTTTAAAAAAATTTGTGAAAATACATGTTAATGATTTGTTTAGGTTAATCTCTTATAAGATAATCCTTTTAGATTAGTCATTGATTGACTATGGTTTGTGTGATAATTTAAGTTTTAATTTAAGGCATCCTTACAGTGTGAATGCAGGACATGCTTGTGAAAGATATTGTTCATTAGACCCGACAATACTTAAATATGACCAAGTTTGATAACCGTACAAAAAAGTGTTTAAATTTCATTTTAAAGGAAAATTGATCATGATCAGAGATAATAGTTTGTGACATACCATGTGATCTAATGACGGTACCAAAAAAGCCTTAGCCATACTATGACTGGAGTAATTAGTCTTCAATAGCACAAAGTGGGCATATTTGGAAAGTTGATCTCTAACCACCATGATAACCAAGAAGTTACATATGGTGGGTAATGATGTGATGAAATCCATGCCATTGAGTCCTATATTTGAGTAGGAATGGCCAAGGGGCACACTAATCCTATCGGCAAAGTTTGAGAAGTCTTCACACATTGACACACCACACAGCATCACACGAAGTCTTGAATATTTCAATCCATGTATGGCTAGTACACCATGGCAATTACATAGTGAAAAGTTTAGAGAGAGCTTGCATGGCCAC